CAAAGGACAATGTCATGTGACCTGTTACATGAATGCCCCATGACCTACCAGTCATGCTGGTGTGACTGCCATTACAGATATTCTAACCCAATCATTAGTAACAGTTGCTGTAATACGAATATTACATAGGTGATTATCTAAATTTTTACTATCGATGGGATTTGAACACCTAATCTACCACTTGGAGGGTTGACAACCTGACCACTTCACTAGATCATTACACCCTTATCTATATTATTTATATATTCTATTTAAAAAAGCATAATAATATAATAAATTTTAATGTTGACAAAAATTTGAAATTTTTTTTATATTATAGTTAATTGTCTTCTATTATTAGTTAAGATTAAATAACTATTATTTATATTATATTAACATAACTAGTAGGTCATATAGTATTTGTATAATGATTATACCTTGTATAAAAAAATACTAAAAATATAAGCTTATAATAAGTTCTTATGTTTATATAAATTATAAAAACTAAGAAAATAAAAGTTTATTTGAAAGATTTAAATAGAGAGATAGTTTAAACTTTCAATAATACTATTATAAAAACTAGATCTAAAAAACAGAACTAGAATTTGTAAAGCTAAGTAATATACTAGTTTTTGGAAAGAGACTGTTTTAACCAATCAGACTGCTAAAACTCTTTAGAAAAAAAACTTACATATTAAAAACATATAAACTAGAAGTATATTTGTACTTATCTTTTCAAACTATTTGAACTAAAAACTTAGTAGAACTTGAATTAAATATCAAAGTAATAAAGTTATATTGTAAAATGAGTAACAAAATTGAAGTAAACTTTATAAGAACATAATAATTTAATAATATATTCTAATTATAAGAATTGGTTTTGATTATAACATAATTGGATCAATTATAAGAATAAGATACAAAAGGTTCTAGAAGGTTTAGTACAAGGTCAAAAATTTTTTATATAAGTGAACTGCCTTAAAAACTTAATAATTATAACATATTTTTACTAGTATTAACTAAAATTATTAATAGGTATAAATAAGTAAGTGAATATAAGAACTATTGTATTTAAATAAGAAACTTATAAGCAGATTTTAGATATAACAGCTAGTGTAAAACCTTTAGGCAAACTACTTAAATTAGACAATAATTAAAGTTGTATAAGTGACTAGTTGTAATACAACTATTAGCTGAATGTACTATCAATAAAATTCTAAGTCACAAGTACCTTAATATTTAAGAAAAAAAAATACATCCTACTTAGAATACAACTTCAAGTTGTTATAAACCTAATTATCTAAAATATGCCTTTACATAATAACTAGAATCAGTAAACCAATATTTTTAACTAAAACTAAAGTATCTTATTTATTTTGTTTGTTTGAATTTTTTTTTACTGTTGATCTTTTTGAATTTTTTAATTTACTTACAACAATAAGTATTTTTTTTAGTGTTTTTTTTAGCATCATTTTTATTATAGTTATGTTTGTCATTTCATTGGTTGAGGCATTATTATAAGAGTTATTGTTGTTGAAGTCACCGTTGGTATAAATTGTAGGCTTTCGTCATTGGTGGACTTTCGTTGTTTGGTATTATTGGTGAAGATTTCAGACTTTCCTATTCTTGATATTTTTATCGGACATGGCTTTAGCTATCTCAGATACTTGGTTCATAGAACATTCATTTAATTGGTTGATTACCGGTACTCTATTTACGTTTAATGCAATTCCAATTTGTTCGTTCAATTGAGTTCGATGTTACTAAAACTAACCAAGTAGTTTAAATCGTTTTTAGATTGTTTGATCGCATTTTTACATGTATTATACATTTTTTCGTTAGCGTTATTAAATTACTGTGTACAGAATTTGAAGAGTTTAATATCAATTTTCAACTTTAAGTCGAAAAATCAGTTTAACAATAAACTTTATTTTCAATACACGAATAAATTTCGAAATTTTCGAAAAATTTGACGGTCCCTGATTCCTGAACCTAAGGATTTTACCATCTTAGTTTTAACCGATCTTTAACCATCTCGTATTATTTAATGTTTAATACTTGTAATATATCAATAAAACTAGCATAAAATACGCAATATATTTAAATTCGATAATGTTTTATTTTATTAATAATTTTTAATTAAATAATGAAGGGCATATTCATAAAAATAAAATACAAAAATGTAATTTTAATGATTTTTGAATTCTTTTTCGAAATCAATTTCGGCAACACCATCACCAATTGAAGAACGCCATTTTTTAGCTTTTTCAAATCCATTACTATACTTATTATAATCTGACATAGCCTGAAATATTTCTTCTTCGGTATTCATAACGAAAGGTCCATAGCTAACTATTGGTTCCTAAAAATATAAAATGAATTTATAAGAGTCAAATTTTTCTTTATTTATGAATGAGAATCAATTTAACAGAAAAATTAAAAATACCTCCAAAGGTTGACCGGCAAAGAGCATAAATCTAACATTACTGTCTGCCGCATCAACAGGTAAATAATCACCATTATTATCATCCAAGAATAATGCGTAACTTTCTTGTCCATTAAATCGATTTCCACCAAAATAAGCAGATCCTTCCCATACATAAATAAAACCTCGATAATTTTTTGGAATCTCTTGTTCAATCTTTTTTCCTTTGGATAACTTAAAATCTAACATCATAGTAGGGGTTCTAGTAAATACATTACTTTTAACACCAAAACTTGAGCCTGCAATAACTTTAACTTCAATTCCTTCTTCAGGATTCGCTTTTGGGATTTTTTCATCACTAAGATTCTGAAAAGAGGGTTCTATCATTTTGTTTTTGGCTGAAAGATTAATCCAAAGTTGAATTCCTAAAAAATTTTTTTATAGTTTAACAAGACCTCATTTGATTTTATTAATCTTGAATGAATTAAAAAAAATTTTTTAGTTACCTTTCGACTTGGTTATCGGCATCTCAGCATGCACTTTTATTCAAAAGAAAAGGAGCTTATTATTCTCAAGAGACCAATCAACCTTTCGCTTAATAAGGAAGATGTTCTAATCCAAAAGCTTACCTATTCCGCGACCAGCAGTCATCCATTGTATACCCCTATAGAATAAATTTATGAAAATTAGAGATTGGAACTAAACCCTAAAATTTAGTTTAGGTTAGAAGCCTAAACCCTAAACTATATCCTAAACTCTAGCCTAAACTTGTATGTAACCTGCCCAAAGTTGTACAGCCCGAATTACAATTTGCAAGATTTAATTTCAGGGGCTTAATTTTTAGTTAGGTGTAAATTTAGGCTCTGAGTATTGACTTCAAGGCATAGAACACGAAATGTATATGCGTATGAATTAATGTTTAAATACCCTGGCTCTATCAATCCTCTATTTCCAGCAAAATCTTCATGCGCGCTAGTGCCTTCTAGCATATATGTAACGGTCTCAAATCCTCTGTGAGGGTGATCGGGAAATCCAGCAGGTGGAGAAACTTCGAAAATATCACACATTAAAAATGGATCAATTGTATTACGTCCACTTATGCATCTTCGTACGGTAGCTCCGACACCCTCTGGTTGACTCTTTTTAATAATAATGAATCATAAAAAAAAAACAATTGTTAGAAAAAAAACGAATGATTTAATGGATTTTTAAATCGTAATATTTACATTCGCAACAAATGATCTAGCGATGTTCCTTGCCAAAATTCTTGACATTATCAAACAGATATATATATTTTTTACTGTTAATTTAAAATGTCTTAATGAGTAGTTCATCAAGTTGACATTCTCCTTTTATATTTTTCTTAGCCTACCATGTTGAATGATACACCCGCTTACTAAAATTTTATTGATTTGTCACATTTGTAATAGTAGATACCAAAAAAGAAAATTTAACGTCATACGTAGATTATAAATACAATAAATACCAAGAATTACCCAAGTATTACAAATTTTCCCGGCTAGTGTTATGGTGACCGAATCAGTACTACAGTACCTAATAAATCTGTACGTACATACGTATTTGTACACCCATTTATGCCCAAATTTTTTAAATCTAAAAAATTTCCCTTTTTAAGTTGCACTGCAACATATGAAACCAACCTCAAAATTTTGATTGGTTGGGTACACTGATTTTTTTCAATATCTAACCCGAATACCTTTTTTTTTTTATATGTAACAATACTGAGGTAGATGAACGAAATTTTTAACATGAATAAGTTAAACTGTATAATCTGTATAATCTGTACGCATCAGTACCAATCTCGTTCGAAGCTATGTGATTACTTCATGACTTTATATAATTTAAAGCTCGTATTACGGATCGATTAGTATGGTCCAGTCTCTACTAAGTTTGGTCTATTTTAATGTTATTAATGGGTTGGGCTAAGTTATTGGCTAGCAGGAACACTTAAATTATATGACATAAGTAATAGGGTGCACTCAATATCGATATTAAATTGCATGGTTTTGCACAAGTCATGTGTAAGAACTCATTTTAGAATGTACTGTACCTCGCTCGAGGTAAATCCATAAACCATATGACTTCGTACAAAGCGTAAGGTGACCTGACGTTATCCAAGACCAAATTTTGGGATCAGATTTTGGTGATAGCTCTAATCTTTTTTTATGTTTGATAAATCACTAGCCGCTTTGATTTCTTAACTAAAAGCTTACTTCGCGTAAGATATGAGGTCATATGACGTAATTTGTGCGAAGATGTCATCATCTTTTTCGAGGATAGATTAGCGTTAGCAACTCTTATAGGCTAACTTTCTCGTGATTGGTGGATCACATGAAATTGACTCTTGTATTATGATTGGTCATATGTGCCAGCATGTGATAATGAGCCAATAAAATTATAAAATTATACTGAAGAACGAAAAAGATCAAATATATTTTCTTAAACATATATATTTTTCTAAAGCCTATTTCATTTACTATACTAAAATAAAATAAGACCTAAAAATATATAATTATGAAAAAATTCATTAAACCCATAGAGTTTTAAAATATTTAAAGTTTTTAATTGGTTTAATTCCTTGTAATTAACCGTTTTTACATACATACCGTATTCTACCGTAAATAAGCACCACACCCTCAACCCCATTTTTTTAAATGCCAGATTAGCGGAAATAACTTGGCTAAAGATCTCATTGCAATGTCCGTTAATCTGACATTTAAAAAAATGGGGTAGAGGGTGTGGTGCTTATTTACGGTAGAATACGGTAATACGTAAAAAGTTCTTTACACTATGTTTTAAAAACTATATACATAACTCAGCAAAATGTTTTATCTATTTTATTTTTTAAACAAAGTTTTTGTTAGTTTTTTTTTACTAAGTCAAATACATTCGACCATTTAGTAATCATATATAGTTCTATAGTTATAATATACGTAGAAATTTCACCTTCTAAGTAGGACGCCTCTAAGTTGCATAGTAACTAAATGATTGACCAATCAGAAGAAAATTAGCCTATAACACAGGATGTCCGGGTCGGAATACCTCGGAATCATGATTAGCAAGGCCGGAATTAACTAATTTTGCCCAAGATCACTAAAAGTTTTACTAATGAAGTCATGGCCCACTTATTATGTAGAGCTACCCAGCTGATAAGTTTGGCCCAGAAATGGTTGGTATTGCTAAATACGAGTGCCTTATGTCAAGAAAAATCTCGAGCTGCCAACCAAAAAAATTCCCTATGTATTTAAAATTAAAGATTGTGTCCTATGAATAAATTTCATGCTGAAAACTTTTATTTAGAGATCGGGAAGTTAATTCCCTATGTTTTTCACGTTTTGTTTTATTACACGAGATCCTGTAATTTTATTGGATCCGGTTAAGGTCGGAAGTGATCTTCGGCGATCTTCAGCCCGGGATTTCCTTGACATAAGGGTACCCGCTAAATACCATATAGGCTAACTTTCTCGTGATTGGTCAATTTTATTCAATTGAATTTATACAGTTTAGAGTACTTTTACCCCCTAACATAGTAAAT